GCTACATGAAATTAGTCCCGAGGATGTTGCAATGAGAAGCTCCTTTTGATTGCTTTGGTTGCTAGCAGATTGCCACAGTCACCTGCACTTTGCATGGAAGACTTGTCTGCAAACACTCGATAACAAAACAGAGCAGCTGTGACACTGCGAGAAGTGCAGCACAAACTGGGAAGTGAGAATGTTTCATTTCAAAGTAAAAGTTGTGGTTTTTCAAAGGTATTAGTTTCAACTGTGAAAAAGTACTTATGAACAAACTCTCCCTTTCCTGTGCTTCATTTTCATTACTACTTAGTGAGTAGTTGGCAAGTGTTTGCAGATGAGGTGTTATCATCCATACAAACTACGTGCCACTGCAACAATGTGCTACCAACCAAAGCAAAAAGAGGGTCAAATTACAACACTGTGTATATCTCTGTGACTAATTTCACATAACAACAGCAACCAACCTACAACAACCACTCACAACTGGTCTTAGAATAGCCTTGTGATTTGGCCTATGCGATTAGGGCCTAAATGAGTAGTTGAGATGGTACAGCTGGGTGTCATAAAAGAAGTATAAACTACTAATATTTCATAGCAGATGTTGTTTTGTATTAAACAAGGGTTGGTTTGGATCAAAGGATACACAAAGCACAGGATTACAGGATGAGAATGTAGGTCTAACATTCTCTGTGTTGATAGATTTAAACTGCTAAAAATCATCAAAAATGTTGCCAGATTGGTTTAATATTGTAAGCGTGCCTTCAGTGTAATGTTTAGAGAGACAAAGAGAAAGACGCTGTCACAAAACTAATAGTGTGCATGTGTCTACCTGTGAACTTACATGTGATATTGTGCGTTGGTGTATGTGCACGTTATGCCTCCATAGCCTGTTTCATGGATGAGTGATCCTGTCAGCCCCTGGCGATCTACAGACTGATACAGTAGACTGTGCTGATCTATGACTCATCCTGTGTGTGTGTGTGTAAGTCTGTGTGTCTGCATGTGTGTAAGTACATGAATACATGTGTAGGAATTCATCCCACCTGCAAACATGAACCAGAGATGGTCACTCTTTGTACCCCAAGATATGTATGCATATTCTGTAATCAACTGAGCATAACAACAAAACCTTCACCTACTGTCACAGTAGTCAAAGTATTCTAAACTAATGATGCTCAGTAAGATTTGCTGTTTTTCTCAGGGGAAACATTTGTTGACCATCTCAATGTAATGAAGGTTAAAAAAAGTCACAATTTTTATCTTCTTTTTTTTTTTACAATATGATATCAATGTATCCACATTCAACTGAAAAAGTGAAACCAAGAAATAAATAAATAAATAAACAAACAAACAAAAACACAACACAAAGAACCAAGATTATCTTTTTATTTTTTTATATTTTTTTATAGAGTTGCAAGGTTGAGCCTTGAGATTGATAGTTGACAGAGGGGCAGAGGGAGAGCTTTACATCATACACATTTGCTGATCATACATGTTTGCAGCGCAGCGTTTACTTTGATGATCAAATAATAATTCCCGTGAGATTAATGCAGCTTAGATGCACATGGGGACTTCTTTGATGATGCCCAGCTGGAGTGGCAAATACCATGAGAAAAACTAATTGTTATAAATGTGTATGCCTGAATATATTTATCATCACAGTTTCAAGTGAAACAAGAGGTAATAACGTTATTCATTGCACGCTGACTTTTTACAGCCAACACCCTACACACACACACATTTCACATTACTCACTCCAAAAAGAAGACAAACCCCCCTGAGTTTAGCCAAAAATGGATTATTCCCACCTCAGACGGATCTCTTGTAAATATCCAAGCTTTACAGGAAAAGCAGTCTGCTTCCATTAGTCCCATTCTCAGGGGAAAACTCAAAACTTCTTATCCTGGGCTGACAAGCTGTGAAAGCTCAGGGGAAAGTGGTTTCAGTTTCTATTTTTGCTTGTTTGTTTATTATTGTTTGTTTATTTTTATTAATAATTTGTTGGTGTTTTTCAATAGGGTAAAAACAAACTAAAATCTTTTTTCACAGCTTGCTTTCTTCGTATTACAAGCCATGCCTAATTTTCTTTTTAGAAAACACAATATTGTATTCACGACTATGCTGTCGACACTGCAGTTTACCTGGCTTGACCAAAAGTACTTTGTTGATTGAGTTGAGAAAGTTAGATGTGGAATGCCTATTGAGTTTTTAGTCTAACACAGGCTAAAGTTTAACTTGTTGGGTTTTTACATTCACAATACACAAACAAATTTACAACACTAAATTACATAAAACCATGAAAAGGAGTTCAGCCAAAAATGGATCACTCCCACCTTGAAGTGACAATATGACGATGATACTATGACTAAAAAACTACTAAAGCTAAAACTAAGCATTCAATATAAAATTTAGTGTTAAAAAAAGAGAGAAGGGGAAGAAAAAAAGTAAATTAGTCTATATGTGACCCACTTCAGTAGGATGGAGCCATAGGCATGCAGTCACAAGGGTTTAATGTTAATGCAAAACAAAATTGAACATGTAACAGTAGCACCTAAAAAGAATTAAACTCTACTTCATTAAATATGTTTAAAACTATAAAACTGAATGATTGTAAGTGGGTGACAGGATAAGCGCAGCAGGGACTCTGTTAAAAAACGAATCAAAATTTGACACATGTTAAGGGGGACGGCACTTCACATTTTACTGCAACCAGACAAAACAATATGAAAAGGAACCGATTATTCCAGAAGATGAAACTTTGCAAACTGTGGCCACATACTTTTTAGAAGAGGCTTTTTCCTTGCAATCCTTCCAAATAAGCCCTACTTGATCAGTCGTTTTCTAATTTTATTATTGTGAACTTTAACATTTAATATTCTAAATGAGGCCTGTAAAGTCTGAGATTTAGCTCTTAGGAATTTCTCTGAGCATGGCACAATCTGACCTTGGGGTGACTTTGCTGGGATGTCAACTCCCGGGAAGGCTGACAACCACCTTGGATGTTTTGCAGTTGT